TTGAAAAAAAGACATTTTTTGAAGATTTGAATAATGAAGAAACTAACAAGTTTGATGAAGGAGAGTAATGAATAAGAAGATGTAGAAAAGGATGTTATTTTAGAGGGGACCACTGAGGGCATTTACCAAAAAGATACAAAATAGGATGTAACTATGGAGGAGACCATTAAGGGTATTGACTATAACCAAAAAGTCAGGGAGGGACTTGATGTAACCAGGAAGAAGTTGAAAGATTGAACTATAACCAGGAATATGCAGAAGAGAATGTTACTTTGGAAGGGGCATTAGGGGCATTGACTATAACCAAGAAGTCACTATCTACTGCATTCACTTTAGTCTTTTAACTATGTCATACGTTTCACTTTAGTCTTAGTACTACAAAAATTTTTTTACCTCAGAAGCAAAGTGCATAATACCTCGGCGATAGAAGCGAGGTAACAGATGGCAATATAAGAACTCTCAACTTATTACCTCAGTGGTATTAAAACCAAGAAGTAAAGTTAAATGCACATGAGTTTGAACCCCAACAACAACACTTTTATTATTTTCAAAACTAGTGTGTCTTTCATCTTGATTTATCTTTAAAATCAATGGGTTAGACAACTTTTTTTAATAGTTGTTATATTGTTTACTCAAAATATTACATTGTTTACCTAGAATATTACATTGTTTATCCATAATATTATATTATTTAACATAAAAATCAAATTTCCTAGAGATCTACGCAAAAATCAAATTCTAAGAAAATATAGATTTTAGATCTTGAAATTATTGAATCTTGGGAAAGATCAAAAGTTGGGTGCAAGATTATTCTCTACGGATCTTGCATGCATTTGATTCTGAAGCAAAAAAAAAGGGTTAGATAAATAATATGAATATTCAAATATATGATTTTATGATCAAATAAATATTTAAGAAAACAAACCTTAAACTCAAGTAATTTTCTGCTGTTGCAATCCATCTTAGAGAACTTTTCCAAATATCTTTATGTTTCAAGCGCTTTATGTTTCATTTAGGTTATATTTTCAATATTCAACATGCTTTTATAACGAACGTCCCTTAGGTTTCACGCAGATAATTAATGGAAGATTCATGAGTGTTGATAAACATTAAATGTACGGCAAATATTTGTTTAAGGACGTTGAATATAGTAAAAAAAATGCTTAACTATCCCCTCGGCCAAGAAAAAATCAGAGGTGAATAAACAATTTTTTTTTAAATTACATTGTTTATACAGAATATTATAAATAAATTTTATATTAACTATCACCTTGGTAACAAAGAAAACCGAGATGACTATTTCTTTTTTTTTTGTTGGGAAAAACATTGTTTACACAAATATTAAAAAAACATTGTTTACAACAAATCTTTGGCGATATCTAAATTTTGTTGCATACCCACTAAAACAATTTTTAAAAAAAACTAGAATGACTTTCTGCACTTGCAATCTAACAACTGAGTACTCTTTAAAGGTTGAGGTAGTTCTCTTCTTTGTTGGTTAAGCTCCATTCTTTATTTAACTTGAAGCAAGAGTAATTTTATGCACTTGCAATCTATCACTTGAGCTCTTTTCAAAGGTTGAGCTCACATCATTGTTGTTTAAGCTCCTTTCTTTAGGTAACTTGAAGAAAGAATAATTTTCTGCACTTGTAATCTATCAACTAGGTACCCTTCTTTAACTAAGGATTATTTTAAAAAAATACAACAGCGACAACATCAACACCATTATCCGAGATAGATTGTCAGGGCGAGAAAAATATTTCGTTCAAGATAGAAGAACATTGAAGATTTTTTCTGTCTTGTAATTCATCCCAAAGAATGATGCTTGAGGCGGCTTCATATTAGTAAGGATTAGGGTAAAATATGTTTAACGAGTGCTTTTATAGTAAAATCTTATTATTTTATGTCTCAGTTAAATAGAAAACCGAAGGGTTAGAATATTTTGTTTACACTTATAAACAAATAGAGTCAGAAATTGCGATATCTGGGAATCAATGTTTGTAGTGATTTATTTTCTCACCTCAGTTTTTTGAAAACCCGAGGGAACTTATATTTTTTTTAAATAATAAAAAATAGCGCGTCTTTGCTTTATACCTCAGTTTTCTATTGTTCGAGGTGAAAGTCTCGTCATGAAAAGCGTTATTTATTATAATGTCTCTTAATTGTGTCAGAGGCTTCGCTTTAGTCCCTTTAATGCATTCATTTTAGTCTGTATTAAATGCATTCATTTTAGTCTGAATTAAATGCATTCACTTTAGTCCCTTTACTATGTAAGAGGCTTCACTTTAGTCCTTTTATTGTGTTTGTAGACATTTATACATCAAATTTAGGAGGAAGTTTCCAAGTGTCAAACTAAAGGAACTAATGCGGAAGGCTGCAATTGCTAGCCACGTCAATGCTTGGGGAAAAAGTCATGCTTGAAATCAAGGGTGTCAACGAGAATGCATTCAAGCACCTTATGAAGTTTCCATCAAGGTTCTGGAGAAAATCAAGGTTTAGAACTACTTCAAGAAGTGACACTTTGGTGAATAATAAGTCAGAGGCATTCAACTCAGTATTTGTAAATGCAAGAGCCAAGCCTATTGTCACTATGATTAAAGAGATTAGAGTGTATCTTAAGTAGAGGCGGGAATCAAATAGGCATGAGATTGCCAAATATGAAGGTAATATTCTACCAAATATCAAAAAGAGAATGAAAAAGGAGTCACAAAAAACAAACCATTGGTTGTGAGCTAATGTGTTGATTTGTACAATTGTATTATGTATATTTGTTACAATTGTATTATGATTAATTTGTGCTTTCTTCATGTGTTATAGGTGTGCAGGTAAATATGACTACGTGGTTAGGCATATATCATATAATGGAGAAAAATTCATTGTTAATCTTTCCAAAAATGAATCCTCTTGTAGAAGGTGGATGCTGACAAGACTGCTATGTTGTTATGCAATTTCATGTATGAAGGATCAACACTTAGAAATTGATGATTTTGTGTCCGTCTGCTACAAAAAGGATTACTATGAGGCTTTCTATGCACCAATGCTATATCTAGTTAATAGGGAATCTCTGTGGACAAAAACATAGTTTGTTGATCTACAACCTCCACTAATGAAAAGACAACTTGGTAGGCTCATAAAGAGAAGGAATAAGGAGGCTAGAGAAATGGTGGGAAATGAGTCACAACTGAAACGAGCAAAATTTGGTATCAAATGTAGTCGGTGTCATATGAATGGTTACAACAAGGCCACATTCAAGCTCTCAATACCACTTACTAAAGAAGCAAGTCAGGCTAAATCAACTCAACCAACACAAGGTGACTCTGCATTCATAACTCAACAAGCACCAGGTGACTCTACACCCATAACTCAGCCAACACCAGATGACTCTGCACCCATAACTCAGGTAACACTAGGTGACTCTGCATCCACAACTTAACCAACACCTCGCAGTCAGGAAGCACCATCAATATCTTCAACTTAGCCACCGCCTAAAAATAAAATAAGACTTCAAAAAGGGCGAAACTCACTTTTAAACCAACCATAATTATGTCTATGATTTATTGTTTTGCTATTTTATTGCACTGTTTTGGAATGTAATGACTTTGGGAATGATGTGACTTATAATGCCATTTGAGTAACTGTTTAAAACTGTGAATGTAATGACTTTTGTGAATGTAATGACTTTTAGAATACTAATATGTAATTTTGTTAATGACTATTAGAATGATATGATATATAACTCCATTTTGAATTATATGAAATTCTATTATGTAACACACTTCCAAATTATATAAAATTTTGATATCTATTTATGTTAACTCTATTACATATTTCACTTTAGTCTCTTTACTATAATAAATGTTTCACTATAGTCCCTTAGCTTTATTACATATTTCATATTAGTCTCTTAATTATATTACATATTTAACATTAGCCCCTTAATTATATTATACCATTTCACTTTGATCCCTAAACTAATATGTTATACCAGTGTTTTTTTTCACTCTTTTATACTTGTTTTTTGTATCAGTGTTATACCGATGTTTTGTATCAGTGATAATGACAGAGTATGTTGAACACAAATTGTTTCTCATAACAATAATAATGAAATCAACAAAACTGTTACATAGATTTGTCATGATAGATACAATAATTGTAAGCTTTGGTTGTTGGACATTGAAGTATTGCTTGAATAGTTTGACATTAAAGACAAATCTTGAACAAGATGAATGTTGAAAAAAAAGAATATGAAACCCCTAAAAAACGAATGAAAGAGGAAAGATGATGACAAATCTTGACATTAAAGACATTGTAGTATATAGTTATACTTTAAATAAAATAGTTTTTTTTTTTTAAAATTGTCAAGACCCCCACTTAATCCAACCTAATATATTTTTTTTTTTTCCATAGTACCTAATAAATACGTGTATTCCCAAACATATATTTATGTGAATCTCATAAATAAAATAAAAGATACAAAGATCTCATAAAAATAGTACCACGACCAACCATGGATTATTCATAATTTTGTCGACATTATCAAAATCTCTTTGAAACATGGTCCCACGTTAACACCATGGAACCCACCAACCGAAGAAGAAGTAGTAGTAGAAGACGACCACCTCGCCATGCAACATTCACTTTTTTCAATAACACGTGGCACAATCCCATTCACTTATTACCTATTACCGTGTCGGCATTCTACCTCCACCGTACGATCAAACCTCATCTTAAATCAACGACTCTAAATCTCCGAATACTCACCAAAAAGAAAAACACGGTACTCACACACACATACGACACGGTCTCACTTTAAAATTAACAAAAAAAAAAACACTCTTTAAGTTGAAAAGCCACACACACCTTTGTTCATCTTAACGTTGCTACAAATACGTTGTAATTGTTCTTGTTCTTTTCAGATAACAAACCTTAACTTCTTCTAACTCTCTCTTTATATAGTTTTATTTTTTTTAATTAATTTTACCGAACCAAACTCCGAACCTATGGCTGAGCTCCAAGCCAGTAAAGAAACAGTTCCAGTTGCAGCTCCGGTCCCAACTCCGGCTCCGGCTCCGGTTACGGCGGCACCTCCACTATCTGTGGCTCCGCCGCCTGATGTTGCTGATAAGAAAGCTGCTGCACTACCACCACCACCTGCGGCGGAGGAAACAAAGGCTCTTGTTGTTGTGGATAATGAGAGTGAGTTTGTTCTCTTTTTTCCTTCCACCCATGTTTAAATTTTTAATGTTTTGGCTTTTGAAAATCATGGGTTGTTGTCAAAATTCAATTTTTACTATTGAATCAATATATAGCTTCATAGGGTGTGTTAAAGTTAATGAAACTATGGTTCTTTTTTATGTATTTAATCATTAATGTTCATACTATAGTAATTGTTTAAAGCATGATTTTTTTCTTCTTGTATGATGTTTTATCCAATGTTTTTCTTATTGGGATTGAAGAGTTCTACTTTTATTTATTTATGTTTTTTTTTTCATGATTTCAATTTTCATTGTTAGTTTGAGAGATTTTGTTTATGAATTGAGAAAGTTTTCAATTTTAAGTAATTCACTTTCTCCTTTCTCTCAATTATCCAAATGCTTAGTTCACATCTTCAATCAATGACCTGTAATTAGGTATGGTTTGCAATTATTAGTTATGGTATTGGATGCTTTCTATGATGTGACTTGTTTGTTAATATGGGTAGGGTACCTCATTTTCTTTGCCTTCCAAAAGTGTGTTTGACTCTTTCTATTTTCATTATAGCAACATAAATGATTGCTCTCTCCTTTATTCAATACATTTTTGAGAGAATATCTAGCTATCAAAAGTTTTTGGTACTCAAGCTAACTAAATTGATATTTACTATAATGAAATTGAGTTACTTATTTGTCTCTTTAATTCAATTTAGTTGATAGATGCAATGGTATCTGATCAGGCATCTGATTAAACATATTTGAATTCGCGACATCATATTTATTTATTTTTAAAGAGTAAAATTTTGGTTATTAGGCTAAAAGAACAACCATTCATTATCCCATTAATTCCGCTACACTCCTTTCCACTGCAATATCCTCATTTCTGTTCCACTTACTTATTAAAATTTCAAAAATTTTAGTCATTAATCTATTAAAAAAAAATTAAGCTATTTTTTTTATATATACTTTAAGCTTATTACATCATTTCTTGTTCTATAAGTCAATAAATAATTTCTCCATTGTCCTATTAAAATGATTTTCATTAGCCCCTAAAATTGTTTATAAATTAGTATTGTCCCCCATGTTGCAAGGAAAAGTCTTTCTCTTTATGTAAATGATGCTTTGATTTATAGAAAAAGTTATTCTAATAATTTGTCATGTCTCACCAGCATCTTTAATTTAATTTAATGAACAAAAATAAGAAAGTGAGCATCTATTTAGAATCCAATAAAGAAAAATTACCCTAAAGATCATTGCTTTTCTTTACCATTTTTCTTTTGATATACAGAAACACCAGATCCTGTTAAAAAGAAAGTCTCTGGAGGATCCCTTGATAGAGGTTAGTATTGTCTTTTCAACTTATGCAAACAACTTATAACATTTCGATAAGTCTTGTTTTCAACTTATGAATTTTATGGTCTACAGATGTTGCTCTTGCCGGAATAGAGAAAGAGAAAAGATTATCTAATGTGAAGGCATGGGAAGAAAGTGAAAAATCCAAAGCAGATAATAAGTAAGAATTTGTTTTCATCTTTGTTTTAAACATCATTAAAAAAAACAGTCTGTTACAGCGAAAACATCTGCGACTAAACAATATTGGAAGGTGCCATATAGATATAATTATTTACCTTTTTATGATGAAAAAGAAATTGTGGCTAACTCATACCGCGACAACTGCAATCAATATCGCAACATATATACTGATCGAAACTATAAAAAATTTTACGTGACCGCAACCGTTATGTTTAATATCCTAAAACTTAGGAATTATTGTTTTTTTAACAGAGCACAAAAGCAGCTATCTACTGTTGCTGCTTGGGAAAACAGCAAGAAAGCAGCTCTAGAAGCTCAACTCAGAAAAATGGAGGTAATACTTAATCTATTTTTAAAATTATTTATTAAAGTTAATTATTATTGATTAAAATATAATAGCACTATAAATAATAATGCATGTTGGTGCATTACATGTCATAATAATAATATGCTTTTATTGACAAGAAAAAATGAATGATGTTTTTTCTTTGTTCTTGTCGTATATTATAGTATCAATTATTATTTTGCTTTTGTGAAATAGTATGAAATAAAGTATTTATTTTGGACATTTTGGCAGGAACAATTGGAGAAAAAGAAAGCAGAATATGGTGAGAGAATGAAGAACAAAATAGCTATGATTCACAAACAAGCAGAGGAGAAGAGAGCAATGGTTGAAGCAAAACGCGGTGAAGAAAATCTGAAAGCAGAGGAAATAGCTGCAAAGCATCGTGCAACTGGAACCATTCCAAAGAAACTTCTTGGATGCTTTTGAAATGATGGCATTATCAATTATGAAATTTTGTCTATATTGTTGTTGTTATTGATATTCTTGTTGTTTGTTGTTTGTGTATGTGTGTATGAAAAGGAATGGAAAGGGAGAATACAATGGAGGAACATGTTGGACAGGTCATAGGATCTTTTGTTTAGTGGAGGATCCAATGTCATTTGTTTATTTATTATTGTTGAGGAAATGTTTTCTTTGGAATTAGTAGAAATTATTGGGGAAAAAATGTCTATTTTCATGTTTGGGTTTATACTGAATTTAAAAATTTGCCCCATTAATTTAGAAGTATACTTGAATTTGAGACTCTTTTGATCAGTTAAAATAATGAAATGTCTTCCCATTAAATATTAGTTTCCATTTTTGGACAACAACATCAATTCTCTCTCATAAACTTATTTAGATTGGGGTCTATTGTTATCTTGGATTTTTTTTATCAATATAAAGGGCAAGTAAAAACAATAACTATGCTATGTGGAAAGTTAAAATTAAATGGAGTCGAAGAACGTTGTTAGAGCATTGGACTTGGTGAATTTTGTTATGCTTGTAAGTTGTTGCCTTATTGAATACAATGCTATGTTGGTTAAGTTTAGAGTTCATCATTACAATGGAAACAATTGGATACCGAGTGTGGAAAGTAATACAGAGTGTGTTGTCTTAACATTGTTGATTCTGGTGATTCCGACAACATTGATTCAATTCTTGGCGACCAGTAAAAGTAGTTAAAATATTTGAATGGTGTTGAAAGAGTGAAAATTGATTTGAAATAGACGGTTACTCGAAGGCACGTGGAAACTCGTCGAAGGAAACAACTGCATGAGATTAAAACGTTTAGTGATAGGGTTAGTTAACCATTTGTAGGTAGTTATTTTAAATTGGTATATAAAGGGACTCATGATCTTATTGCAAAGGGTTCACAATTGTACTCATATTTCTATAAACTCAAAGTATCTGTGTATTTGACAAACGAGTGAAGAAAATGTACGTATGCATTCCACATTTATAAATTTCAAGCACTTTTCTGCATTCAGTTACATTTCGATTTTGCATTAAAGTTCTTGTCATTTTACTTTGTACTGCATTTTGATTTCAGTCACTTTCATTTCCAAAACCTTATATTCTAAGTCTTGTTCACAATTTCATTGTTACTCTTCAGATATTATCCTTCGATTTCGACAGTAAAATGTTGTTTGAATGTTTAAATACATACAAACATGTTTCAGGAGAGTTTTGAGTTTAATCCCTTAAGTATTAATAGAAACTTGTTTTGTTTACCAAATTCCCAAGTAAACAAATTGGCACGCCTAGTGGGACCTTTTTTGTGTGTATTTTACTTTTTATAGTTTTTCATTTCATTCACTTCTCATTGTGTGAGCCTGCATGAGACTAAGGAGTGGTAAGATAACAAAGAGAGCAGTTAGGAAACCTATGAGAAGATATGTCAGGAGAATGGCAAATCCCAGGAATAACAATCGAGAACTAACCCTATAATAACATTGAGGCAGGCACGATCGCCACAGTGTCGACTGAACCAATCCCTTCGAGTGCTAGCACTACAGTCATACCATCAATTACGGTTGCGCCATCAACTCTACCAGAGGGGACGATTTTGTCCCCAATACCCCAAAGTCACCTAGTGACTCCTAGACCAATTATGGCGACAGAGACTAGGCCTTTCGCCACAAGTTTTACAATGCCCATGTTGAGACGTGGGCAACCTTACAGGATGCCAATGTCAATGATGACAAACCTACATACTAATCTAACGACATTTTCTAATAACGATGCAAACATGTATTCAATAATCTTGGCGTAGGGATCAACCATAGGTAATCATGGTCGAACCATTCCACCCTAGATGGAAATGGGTTTTGGATCTCAGGCAATGCCAACGTTTACGACAAATTCCGTAATGGCAATGAGATAGTAGATGGATAAGAGTTACCATGACATGGTAAATACTCTGACTCAACAGATGGGTACGATATTCAACCCATTGATTCAAAATACAAATCAGAGTTACCCGTAGTTGGCAACCTAAATGAATTAAATTGCTGATTTTTTTGGCACACCTCTAGCGCAGGTTCAACCTATTATTCAATCCCAAATAGATAGGTTCGAAACGAATGGGCAGTCTTGGAGGAAAACACTATAAATAAGGGACAACAAATCGTGCCCCAAGTGGTCGAATAGGAGATACCTAGGGAGGCAGAACGTCCATCTCTCATGATTGTCAATCGAAACAAGGATGTCGACTAAGTCTTTTATCAAGTTCGACAAGGAAAACTGTTAGGAGAGAATTGAAGGTGAGAAAAGTACACAAGAAGGGGGAGGTTGAATTGTGTTTTTCGTTTTCTTAATTTGCGTCTGATCAGAGTTCAGAATCTAAACTGGTGTTCAGATTCTGGTTATAATTAGCAGTGGAATGTTAACATAAGCAAATATATAATAGCAGAACACACAAAGATTTATATTTGTTCCTCCCAAATGAGAGCAATCCAATCCCCTTGCTTCAAAAGAGATTTTCACTATAATCAAATCATGAAACGTGTTTAACCATTGGGTCTTCAAAGAGATCATGTACTATAGATCCATTGAGAGTAGATATCCATAAAGCATGTCAAATTTTCTTGAGCCTTGTGAACTAAGACTCTAACTGACAAACTGATTTGACATTGCAGTCTGCTTTCTGCAATACAAATAGCTTCGGCTTTATCACTAATTTTGAATGATCACCAGAAGCCAATTTACATACACAAAGAGTAGAGATAATTATGTTGCTTCTTCTAAGCTGAGACCTTCAGCTTCAGAGTCTACGCCAGACATTACTTAGAGGGTTCTTCAGATTCTGCACCACCAGAAGCTAGCAATTCAGCTTCTCTCAAGTGTACCTTTGTATATCAGATTCTGAATATATATCTATAAGTATTAGAACCTGCATACATGAAACAAACATCAAATATTACCATTGTTCTTTTAATACTTTTTTATCATCAAAATCCAAGGAATATATGTCATGAACAAATCTTGTTCTAACAGTGTCCCCCTTTATGATGATGACAAACATAAGTATTTAAAGGACAATGTTTGACAGTTATTATTTTCTTTGTAACATTAGAGTATGAGGTTTGTGAGCTCCCCCTAAGTCTAATAGTCTAAAGTTTAGTTTTGTAAACCCACCCTAAGTTCTACTTTCAAGAAATAGTATTTTTATTTTCTTAGTAACATCAGAGTCTGAGGTATGTAAACTCCCCCTGAGTCAAATAGTCCAAAGTTGAGGTTTGTAAGCTCCCCCTTATATCTATATTTAAGAAAACTAAAAATAATATTTTAACTTCCTTTTCCAACATAAGAATACGAGGTTTGTAAACTCCTTATAAGTCTGATAGTCTAAGGTCGAGGTTTGTAAGCTCCTCGTTAGTTCTATGTACAAGAAAGTTAAAATATGTCGTCCGGACAAAATAACCATTATGTAAAAAAATTTAATACAAAAATTATAAATGACCATTATGTACAAACTGAATGGGTTCAATTTATAATTAAATACTTACTACCTTTTCTCCCCCTTTTGTCACATCAAAAAGAATAAAAAGATAAAAAATAAAAGAATTACAATCATAAATGCATAATAGGCCATCATTACAAGATAAGTTTCTAAAGAAGGGAAAAAAAACCAAGTAACCGGGATCAATAAAGGATCTTGCATGTTAAAAATTTATTGGTCGTAACAGTTGTCGCTACCGCGAAAATAAGGTGCCGGCAAAACAGAAGAGTCGCCACCTTTCGTTATTTATCCCACAGAAAGGGAAAGGAAACGATCGGAAAAAATCTGACGAAAAGGTATAAGAAAAGGTCATCGCAACCAATGTCTGGGTTCAGGAGTCAGTTACGCAAGGGAAGGTATTAGCACCCCTCACGTCTATCGTACTCGATGAGATCCACGCTTGTTGGTTTGTCTATGGGTGAAAAACAATCTATCTACGGCTGCTAAAGCTAAACAGAAGGAACTGACTCGATAGAGCATCGCACTCTATACCTACGTATTCCCTCGTGCAATGGGAAAGTCAGAGTCAACGTAGTTCGGGAAACTACGGGGGATGGTTGCTCGCCGAGATATCGCATTTCGTGCCTACGTACTTTCACACGGCGTGAAAGATCATAGCAAACGTAGTTCGGGCTACTACGGATAACCGGGGTGTTCTCGATCACACGGGGGTGAGAGAAAGGATTGACGATACTAGCGTACACATTCTAGCATTTAGGTGTATGTTGCTCGCTCGTCGGAGACTTAGGCGTTACCTGTTTGCGGTAGAATGAACGTAGTATATCGGGTTTAAAGGTATGGGAACCTATGGGTTCTAGAACTACGGTCTGGTCTCAATTGCGCTAGGGCAAGAGAAAGGGAAAATTAGCCGTTAGCGGGAAAGTCTCGATCGCACGGCAGCGAGAAAACAGAGAAATTAGTTGTTAGTGTGATCGCTAGGATATCGCATCCTATGCCTACATATTCTCGTCTGGAACGAGAAATCAGAGCAGCTGTAGTTCAGCTAACTACATCAAAGGGGAAAAAGGGAGAAATGGAGAAGGGAGCTCGCTAGGATCATCGCAATCCTATGCCTACGTACTCTCGTCTGGAACGAGAGATCCGAGCAAACGTAGTTCGGCGCACGCGGAAGACGAGTCTCGATTACACAGGGGCAAGAGAAGGGGTCTCAATCGCCTGAATGCGAGAGAAAAGGGTTTCGATCGCACGGGGTGAGAACAAAGAGGAAGCAGGCTTAACACGCCTAAACGGGAAGGAACTCAAGACACACACGCAAGAACCTAAGGCGTAGGAGCGAATGCGTCGTATGTCGCCCAAAGGGTGCCACACTAAACACTCTAGACGATTGAGAGGAAACCCCTCAACCACCATTTCCTACGTATCTAACGCTACAGCTCACAACACTCGACGGTTGCATGAAGACTTGAATAAGAAAGATGATATCGAA